CCCCCCCACCTCCCCACCCCGCCCTCCTTCGAATTTTTCCCACTTTGATATTCTTCCTCCTCTCTCTGAAGTCCGAAGTCAGCTAAAGGGCTAGTGATAACTATCAAAACGCCTGCCATTTGAAATAAGTAAATACTTCAATGTATGATCACATTCTATTCCATAACGCACTGCTATAGATAATAGGATGTTCGGGGTAGATGGAAAAGTCTCATAGATAAGGGAAGTGGTCGATAGGTAAAATAAATTAGCAGTTTTGGAAAACAAATAGTAAACAATGAACTAAGTTTGTGACTTTGATGCCTCTGTGAAGCCTGAAATTAATTAAAGAGCTAATGACAACCATTATAAAGCTTATCATTTGATAAAAATAAAAGCCATTCAAATTGAGATTCGCGACTTCGTGGATACTCAAGACCAATTAACCTGAACATCAACGAATGCAGAAATTTCGACATTGTCAACTCACTAAGTAAGGTAGACGTAAGTGGCCAAGCACCTGTAGTGGTCTAATCCAACAAATCTACCTCCTTCTGTAGACCTCACGTTGTGCCAATACCTTCGTTTTCGTAATCACCCACTCACCCCCCACCTCACTTCACCCCACCCCACTCATTCTTCTAAGATTTCTCTTTGCACTCAATACACTGTGTTGAAGCTCGTAAAGGTAGAAAGGTGGTTGGTTGAATGATTGGCCAACTCTTAATTGCCTTCAAACAAACGTCTTAAAATGAAACGAACGTACTTTTTATCAGGACTGAGATGCAGAGAAGTTATGGGAGCTTTACATCTAGGAAGGGAGTGCAGCAGACGTAGGGAGTGGAGCTGAAGGATTGAGACTAAACCATCATTGCCACCGACACAAATGAAGTTGGCACACCGCGTTACAGCAAGAGCCGTGATGGCGTAACTTCCATTTTCATCCATAGCGGAGGAATCGGTCGTTGTTCGAGCCTGATGTGGGGGAGATATCACTAGAGGAGAGGCGTTTGAGGAGGAGGAGGACGAAGACTCTTGACTACCTGGTGTTTGGCTTACACTGGTACCGTTTCCACCTCGAATCTGTAGAAAGCAAATGCAAAAAAGCCTGTTAGTCCGTCAAATTTTAATGATAGGATCTTATCTTTCAACGCATTCAACGCAATGATGAGAGGAAGATAAAAATCTAATCTAAAGCTCGGAAATGCCAACAAATTAACTTATGGCAGACACGAAGATGAACTGTTGGATAAAGGGTGCATTTTATACCAGCATAAATGGGGTGTGCGATAGAATTACCTCCACGTGGTGCACATTGGGCAACGTATACTCACACGGCAAAAAGTTCATGAACTGGCAGTAGACTTCTTAATTCGAACTACCATGACCCAACTGTATATCATATTCGACCCCTTCCACAGTACTCTCCTTATCCTACTCTCTGCATTTGTGTCTGCCTCTTTTACACCTGTGAATAACACTTCTGTTTCCTCTCTCAAAGTCAACTAAAGGGATAATGATGACTATCAAAATCCTGCCATTTGATATAAATAAGTACCAGCATAAATTAAAGCCACAACTTTGCAAATTTTATCTCAGCCATGCCTGTTGTCTGCAACTTTTGCACAATTGACAAGGTGTACTAAAATGGTGGGTCGTCACCTTGAAGTATCCAAAATGCCTCATTACCCAGGATGAGGAGAGAACACTCGAAAGGACTGAATTTGAGACATCCACTAGTTAATTCTTAAAACAGACAAAGCGGTCAAAGAGATGAGAATCAACAACCAGACATCACTCTGACAAAAGGGAATGGTAAGGAAGATGGAAATTATGGTAATTTTGGGATATTCCAAATAGAATTTCTGGAGGATTCAAACGAGAAACACGATTTAGATAAGAAACAAAGGACAATAGGAACACAGAGATACTGTATCGCTATTTAAAGTCAACTCAATTTTGAATTTTACTAATTACAAAGGCTACAACACCCCCCCCCCCCCCCCCTACATCGAATTTACGCTTTGCAACAGTAAATTCCATTAAAGACCTTGAATCAAGTCATACTATTAAGCCTACTTGAATTGGTCAATCTTTTTCGAGATAATTCAACACGAACCTCCGAATGAAAACTTCACTTTCGCCAATCTGATTTTAAATGTTACTTTAACATAATGAAAAGTGAATCTCACCTGTCGATAGAGATCAGTGACAGCAACAAGACGTGCATTGAGTGTGAAGACAGCAATTTTCGCTGCTCCAAGTTGGAAGATTACGTAGCCGTGACGAGAAGCGAGTACACGCATTGGTGAACCTCCGAATCCAGCTGAAAAGACAGCAGCTGAGACCCCATTGAAGACACTGCATGGTCGTAGACGGTCTGCAGTCGTCTGTGGCACCTCAAAGCGACGTAGCAACTCGCCTTGAGTGGTGTGGAGAAGGCATACCCCGCCTAAGGATAGCAAATATTAATGAATACTTGAGGATTACTGCATTCAGTCAACAAAAAAAAGAATAACTGTTGAAACAAACCCTCAGATCCACTGAAGACAAGACCGAGTTCTGCTGACACCGCGATGCACTGGAGGAAATTTTGATGACCAAATAGAGTCACGTGAGGCATCGGTATTGCTCCGGCTAAAGATAATAGTTATCGATAAGTTAATCAATCAATCAATGACTAAGTTAGGATGTCTTTTGAAGAATGCTCCGAATTCAAACAATGGATTAGCTTTTTATTAGGAGGAGCCTGGAAGGCAATGCAATGACTTACACGATTCGGAGAAGAGGGCGAGAGTTTTGGTATTCAGGATCCACAAACAGACAAGACCATCTCGTCCTCCTGAGGCCAGGTAGCAGTGACCAGTTGCGTTGGACTCTGAGTGTCCCAGACACGTCACCACATCCTGATGACCTCCAACCACACTCTGCATGCACTGACCTGTGGGTGAGGACACAAGTGATTCGATTAAGAAGACTGGCAGAGGAGAAAAAGAAAGAACGCTTCTATAAAAGGACGTTAGACAAACCAGAGCTGACGGCGAATATGCGAAACGAGTAATCGCAGTATCCACAGGCGACAATTCCTCTCCCATCAGCAGTAACCACAAAATTGTTCGCGCTCAAACGCACTGAGGGATCCATATTCTCTCCCAAGTACCGTCTATTTCCAATAACGTTTGACGCTAGAATGAGAGAGGTTCAAGAAAAATATCATCCACTTTTGCAATACCAAACTTAATGAAGCATTTAATGGAAGAATTGAGTTCTTGATTATGAGTTTAGTGACACTTATGAGTTTGAATTCGTATTTATATGTGCAACTCAAGTTGCAACGAACTTAAAGCTCGAACGAAGGAGAAACAGTGGACAGTGGTACTCTTCGACGTAGCCGACTGGCCAAGAATAGAAGCCGTTGCTGAGTTTAAACTACGTACCGGACACGATTGCTTGGCAAAACACATTCACAGATTGGGAGTATACACTCAACCCACATGCCCCCTATGTAACCTACAGGAGGAAATGGAGAAGACCCACCTGATTCGGTATCCAGCCCTAAAGACAACGACGGAAAGCCAGAGATACTGGG